GAGCAAAAATTTGCGGAACAAAGTGCGCGTACATTGGCTTTGATGTGGGCCTATTTCTAATTCAAAGGGCATATAGTCGCTTAGCAACCGCAGTGCTCGCCTACAAAAAATTGGTATTTCAATCCGGTAAGATGTACACTGGAAAATTTGGCAACAGTGGTGTTTTTTTTTCATTTTCTGTATTATAGTCACTTTAACACATTTTAGACATTTTGTGACCCTTATTACCGATGCCACTTCACGGTGAAGTGACAACTTATCACTCACGGCGAAGTGATTCCCATTTGATTTACACGGCAATCACTTCACACCGTGAGTGACAAGTGGTCACTTAACTTTGTTTTCACCGTGAAGTGATACTCTTAATAAGGGCCTTTGTTTTCCGTCGATCTTGTTTTCCGTACTGAGTACCAATGCTACCGACGCCAGGGAGGCAGCTTCCATACCTGGATCCTACTTATCGACCCATCAAACTCATGGACCGGTAACCAACGGTTTTACTTCCCTTCCGAAGGAAGGCGTGATCACAGATTTTATGGCTCAGAAAATCCCGGCGGTGCCGAATGGGATTGAACTCAGGCCTTTTGGGATGAGCGGCAATCACGCTTACCACTACACCATCGGCGGCGCTTACATGATTTACTTGTGTTTCTTGTTATATTTGAAAATATTACATGCATGTAACTAGAAGCACTACAGTACTAGAAAGATCTACAGATAACTATTTTACCGCTACAAGTATACCTCGATGTAACGTAACTGTCACCTTTGACTTCCATCGTCGATATCTCACAAATAACATTTCAGTCATATTAATTGGCATGACCAATATGGTGACCGATGGTGTTAATACTATGTTTGATTTAATGATTGTTAGCTAGAAATCAGTGATGGAAGTCAAAATTTACAGTTACGTTATATCGAGGTATACCTATAGAGGTTGATATTCTTCCTAACTTGAAATTCCAGGTTGCTTCGATTATTGCAGATAAACATTTCAAATGGTCTTATCGGCTCTCGATATTTGATAATTTACATGTATAATAATTTGAAACGATTTCACCAAATTTTGTTGCTTCTTATTTTCTGACCAGCAGAAAAGCACGCAGGAAAATTAGCACACAAAACACCCGAGTGCAATCTTGCAATTTTATTTTTTTTTTTGATTTCGGACGACGTTTATTTTTTCACCATTTCCAAACGCGATTGTTGTCCGGGAGGCAGAACACCAGCACCAAGAAATAACCAAAAACGATAGAACTCTTCCTCCGGAAGTGGGGGCGGATTCAAATTAAAATCATTCTCACAATTACAGGGAAAACGGATATTCGTCTGGATTTATGGAAGTAAAAAAGAACGCAGAAAACACAAAATTCATGACAGCGAAGAGGCAAAGCAAAACCAACGTTCGAGGGCAGAGCCTACTGCGCCTTTTGTTATCGTGCCATAATATATGAAGAAATATTAACTATCAATGTTCATTACGGATCATATGAATAATACATATCAGATGTATGGAACGATAGTAATTAACGTTAAAGATTAGACTTTTTTTTCTTTATTATAGTGACTTTCAGCCAGTGGCTGGTTCGTCACTTTAGAGAGATTAGATTAATTTTCATGACGAAAATAACAAACGTCAAAGCTGACTTTTCCAAAGAGTCATGTACCAGTGGCAATAATTCCCTGTGGTGCCAGTTTTGTTTACGTAGACTACGTCTTACGGGAAAGTACAGGGTTACGCCCCGAAAATCTAAAATTGGAAGCGTCATGAAAAGGTGTTAGGTTTTGAGCGCGTATAACTTTGTAACTGATAGCTGAAAATAAAATCCAAATATACCAACCGATAAGAAATAGCTCTACGAATATGTTGAAATTAATACTTTTTCAATTTTTCATAGAAAAACTTTTGAAAAATGTACAAATAAAAAGTAATAATTTTATCACTATTTTAAATACACTCTGTTACAACAGAGGTAGTTAAGGTAGAACTTTTTCAGAACGCTAAAAAAAAATAAAAGAAAAGCACACGCAGAAATGGGGTGTACAATTTTGCACCTATTGTATGCGAAATTTCGTAATTGATCGCAAATATCTCGCGATCAAAACATTTTCGCTTGAAATCCTTCCAATTATTTCTCGGTACATTTTTTAGCTGCCGATTGAATAAACATTCTTTACTCAATATTGATTTTTTTATTATTATTTCGTGCGTTTTCTCAACGCATATCCATTATTTTCATATGAATGTGGGGTGTTTCTGTGGTGGAAAAAAATGGATTTTCCTATCACAGATTATGAATTTCTGTACCAAGCACTGGAATTATCTGACGCTTCCTCTATTTATGCTGTTAGATTAGCATAGTAAGTCCCTCCTACTTAGAGAATTATGGTATGGAACGGCTTGTTATACTTCGCCTCAATTATAATATCCCAAATTTTTTGCTGATGGAGGCGGGGCATAGCAAGCCGTTCCATAACATACTAAATTCTTCATGTAGGAGGGACTTACAATGCTACTCTAAAAGCATGAAAGCAGTCAGGGGTAATGCGTCACCATTATTAGGGTTGTCCTCCAAATTGGAGAACAAAGGGGTACTTAGATCACTGTCAAACTGTAGTTTTTTACTAGATCATTTCCAAGTATCAACATGGAAATCTCAAGGCTAGTTTGACACAAATTTAATACAGATTGATGTGCTTCTTAGTTAATGACAAACTTCTGATATTTTGGTGATTATGTAATATTGGACTTCTTTGAAAAAACTAGCTGCATCTATTTGTGATGTAAATAGATTTACACAAAAAAATACCATGCACATTAAACATAATTTCAAAAATTTACGTTTACTGATGCACTAATTTTTTTTTGAGACGCCGAAAATTAACCAATTTTGTATTCATAGTATTAGAAACTTTTTGACGTTCTGGTTTGAAATTTTCCATTTTTGCTTTAAGATAGGATTATATTCGATGAACATAAGAGTCTGAATGACAAACACAATTTAACTATTTCGATTGATGTAGAAAAAATTAAAAAGCTAAAATCACTATATTTGCTAAAAACATTCAGTTAGACAAATGTACCAATTTTGTGAACCAATTCTTGTGAAATTTTGGAAAAAAAAGCGCAATTCACGGTATTTGAAAATTATTAGGGCTCTTGAATTTTGATCTTTGAAGAATTTTCGAAAAAGCTTTCGAAAAGGAATTTTGGGGACAGTTACTTTGAATAATTGCTAATGATTTCTGAAGAGAATTCCAAGGGACTTCTGAATAGAATTCCATGGTAATTCAAAACCACCACAAGATGATATTGTAGGTTGGGTGGATTTCAATTCAATTCGTAAATTGGGTACAATTTAATTAAATTATTATGATTTATTATAGATTTACAGCGCATCCAAACACAAAAAGCAACCAACGATAAAGACAAAATGCTTGCTCCTACTATCACGATAGACTCTCTTTGTAATATAGTTTGATCGGAGTTGTCGAAGGATAATGATATATTGCTTGCCTACTTTGTTGTAATATGTGGTTGAGGGCATAACTTGATTGGAATCGAGAAAAGACATAACAAAAAAATTCCCCCTAACACACGTGTATCACCTTCAACAGCTTGCCAACAATTTGTTTGGTCGTTTTCTTCTACCGGTCCGAGCAAGCTATATTACAAAGACCTTTTGTCATGAAGTAAAAGGAATAAGATTATATCATTATTGTTTTCAATTTCCGGCAAAGCGTTACCGTTCGGCTCGTTGATCGTTTGTCATTTTGTCTTTTGGAGATATGTTTGATTCCTCGTAGATTTATGTATTTCTATAATACAAAACTGTGAGAGAGAGTCCTCCATTCCCCGATGGGTGTAAGTGAGCTTTCCGATAAAGATAATTAAGGGACAGATTACCCAGAATTTCACACTATGAGTGTAAAATTAATTATGAGAACTTGTATCATCAATGCTAAAAGAATGTCAAGCTTAAAGTTGGATAATCCAAGCACTATCTCCCTCCCGGGGCAGAGGAAAATGGAACACAAGGCACATTTGCCTTCAGGCACTTATCAACAGCATTCACACATAACACAATTTCTCCACCACGAAGTGCAAAACCCTTTTCTCGCTTCATTACTATGCTAGCCAGTTCCCTTCAATTTTTCATTCCATTCCGTTTCTTCCACTATCTACTTTCTTTCACTTGGAGATTGTTTTTTTTTTTTTGCTTTGCCTTGAGTTTGACTTATAATCGGAACAACTTAGCGGCATTTTCAAGCGGTAGGGTGATGTCTTCTAGTCTGGCTTGCTCAAGCCCGGAGATCAACCAGTTTGTACCTAAGCCATATTTTCACACTCCTCCTGTCTGTGCCCATCACTTATTGGTTCTTTCCCCTTCGTTATGTGCTTCCTTCGGTATCTTTCTGATTAGTCCCGTAATTTTACATCCAAATCATCCTCATAGTCTCGTTGTCGTCGTCACGAACCGTGCGAATACGTGTATTCCTACTTTCTTTGCATCTTTCTCTCATTCACTCTCTCTCCATCTCTTGCGTTCTTCTCCGAATGCCTGGCGTGACCTCTAACAGCACACGTCAAACCCGCTCTAAGCAGACCAGACCGGACCAGACAACATCTCCTCAGGAACCGGAATCAGAAAATCCCCCCCTTATGCCCTCAATGTCCAACATCCCCATCGATCGCCCATTCGCCCATCATCCATCGTCCAAGTTTGTCCTCTCTTTTCTCCACTATTTCTCCTTCGCCCAGCGATGAGCGAGAGAGATTCTTCCAACTTTGCACACACACGATATCAACAATATTAATAGCAACAGCAACAACAACACCACCAGCAGCACTGACTGACTGACTGACTGCAAAACTTGAATTCCTGGAGCAGTTTCAGGCAGAAAGCGATGTTGAAATAAGAAGCAGTCTTTCGAGAAATAGGGTCACTGCACTCTAGTGTAAACTGCGGCGAAAAATGGCACAATGCAAAATTCACCTTTTTCTTTATCTCCAAAATTCTGCGGCGGCGATGATATTCCGAAATTCAACTGGACACAATCTCTGCGCACATGGAGTAGCAACCGACCACTGAGCGAGCACTGGTACCTTCACTTCAATTCAGAATCAAATAAAAGGCGTGCTGATTAGGATTTTCCACCGTACCAAGCTTTAATTTTCCGGGCAATTTTCCTCCAACACCTCCGTGATAGAATTAACCGGACTTGGCAACCGAGCACCTTGACAGACAATACGAACTGACACGTAGAAACGACGAAACGATTCTCGCGAGCACCAAAACGTTACTGAACGATCCGACCGAGCCCCAATTCCATCGAAGTGAGCCGTGAGCCGCTGTCGCCCGTCGTGGTAGGAAAGCAAAAGCACTGCTATGGTTACCAAGAGATGAGCAGTAGAGATTACAGTATTCCCTTCGGTAGTGCGATTAATTGGATTGAAAGTTGATAGAACAAAACGGACTACCTCCTCAAAGACACCGTGACTGTAGCCAGGGACAAAACGCAACTAACCGATGGCTGTAGAACGAATCTCTCTCTCGCTCTAATTTGGTAGTCATTAATTATTACCAAGCATTGGTGAGAAAGAGACATTCGTCCAATAGCCATCGTTCCATGGGAAATCGGATGAGTTGAAATCACACTAATGGGGCGAATACCGTAGTTTGCTCAAATGAACCCACTGGCTGGGTGGGAAGAGAAAAGCTCCTCCAGTGAGAGAACTTGCATTGTGCTGAATGAGAGAATGCGAGAGTGAATGGAGAATTTCTTTTGGTGAGCTGGGAGAAATAATATTGCTTCATGCGTTAAGGTGTATTCAGACCTGAGCGAGTTTGGCGTGCGCGGATTTGCGTTGGTAAGAGAGAGACAACTAGTACTTTTCTCCCTCTCGTAAATTCGCAAATCCCGCCCGGCGCACGCCAAGCACGGTCAGGTCTGAATACAGTTTTATTCCCCGACTCGCTTTGAAACTAGCAGGAGGAGGAGGTGTTCATTTATGGTGTTTGAGTTTCGATAGGATTCATTTAATTCATTTATGTTAAGTCTACATGGAGCATCAGCACTTGCTCGGAGATCATTGTCCAAGATGATAAAAGTAAAGGTTTTGCCTTTTGACGTTGGATAACGTCTTTCGGCAACATACGGGGGTACAAAATTGAAAACAGTCATTTTGGATGCGTTACGAAAAATTAAAAGATTTTGAACGATAATAACTCAACCGTCTCTCGATAGATTTACGAGATAATGGCATCAATCGATTGGAAATATTTCTAGCAATTTGCTGAATGTTTCAAAACTATTGATTTCATTCTGTAAACTATTGAAAAATGGTTAAAAGTAAACCATTGTCTAAAGATGGTGAAAATCGATTGATTTTTTTATATTCTTATACTTTCTCCAACCGAGATATCAGATGCGAGTATCTGACACCTCTGATATTTTCTGTTCTACTATATAAGCGTCCAACAAGGTCGCCCGTTCCATCATTGCCTATCCGATCGTCGACCCAGCAGCAGAGCAGCAGTGCCAGAGCAGCGGTAGCAGAGCAACGGCAGCAGAGCAGCGGCAGCAGAGCCTGGGGGCGAAAGGGCAACTACGCCGAGTGCGTTGGTGCCAGTGCTCCCGTATACTGGGCCGCCGTCATGGAATGCCCAGCTGCTGCAGTTCTCAGTCGGTCGTATTCACCGTCTGCTCTGCAAGGGCAACTACGCCGAGCGCGTTGGAAAAATGGCCCTTTTCAGGGCCACAACATTATCAGGAAAGAGTTTAACGATTAATTTTCTAATGCCTTTCCGACACTTGAATATCGAAAGTTGAATCTTCGCAGAGCCATAGATTCCATTTTTATTGCATTTCTACAAAACTTATTTCAGAATCGAACTCGTCTTCACAGACTGTGTGAAGAAGAACGATGCATCATCGAGCACAACCCGTACCGTTCCAAAATCGTCCTCATCACAACCTCCAAAACAACCATCTACCCTCTCGACATCTCGAGTGGATTTCCCGGTTCATCATACCACCTAGCGCTGTTCTACTGATTGGTAATAATATTTACCCGGAGTTCACCGCACTCGTGGTTGAAGCAAAGCGCCCGGCATGCAAACCGCTCATCAAAATCGCCATCGCCATCCGGTACCCATGCTCGGCATAACCATCATTCCAAAACCACAACCAAAACGGCCCTTTTCAGGGCCACCAACAATTCGACAAGAGTTAGTTTTGAAGACAATTTCTTTCCAGAATATCACAGTTACACTTAAATTTGGGGACTATACTGGGGTGTGGGAACGCTGGAAGGGGAGATGCTGTCTGTCATCAGCCCAACAAAACGGCCCTTTTCAGGGCCACCAAACTTTCGCAGAAGAGTTATTAAGGAATATTCCTAAAATATAATATACACAATTAATACAACACATAACAGACGTTATCCAACGCCAACCCTGCGGTCGTATCTAGTATACAACCCTTCCAACTTTTTTATATAATTCACGGTGACAGTGCTCAACAAATCACAGAATCCATTTCTTTGGGTAATTCTGGACACGGAACCTGAACTTACTTTGCAGCTAGGGTGATATTTTACAAGATGCGATGGACAAAGGGCTCCACGTCAATATTGCATCTTTGGATTTGGCCAAGACCTACAACCGCGCTGGAACACCTTGTGTTATTCAACAACTTGCAGCCTGGGGTCGAAAAGGTCACATTCTGCACTTTTTGAAGAATTTCCTCCGCAACAGATCCTTCCAGTATCCACAGGGTTCCGTTATAGCCGTCACTCTTATCTTGGTTGCTAGGAACGAAATCTTCGGTGCTAAAGGTAGTCGTTTACGTGGAAGACGTAGTGTTGATAGCCATCGACCACACTCTCAAAGCACTGCAAAGAAAGCTACAGGCAGCCGTTTCAGCAACCCAAAGATGGGCTATCCAGATAGGCTTCGTGCTCTCTGCCCAGGGAAGTGTGGTCTCCCCAAGGGTATCCCACATCTGCCGTTCCTCCCACAATCTCCTACGAACAGCCAGTTTCGTCCCACATTTTAATGAACAGTATTCACACTCGGCTGACCTCCTCTAGAGCAACAACCGCGAAACCCTGCTTAAAGTGGCCAAAGCGGTAGTTCATAGCAGGCTCTTTTAAGGGGTTGAGATCACATGTGCTGCTAACGACTTGTTATCTTCCAGGCTGACACCCATCTGTAGCCAAACCGTCAGAATAGTGGCTGGTATCTTACCCTCGACATCGGCCGACGCTGCCTGTGTTGAGCTGGGAACCCTTCCTTTTAGATACCAGATAGCGGAAACTACTCATCGATTGACTCATCGATAGCCAGGTCTTTTAGAGCGGAGGAAAACTGTCCTGCACTACAGGCACACATTGCAAAACTGCTGAACGGGAGGATACGAAACCTACACCACCGCTACACTGATGGTTCTAAAGCTTCGGGTAGAACCAAGTTTGGCGTCTCGGTCCCCGGATACCCCGGATACCAGACCAGTGCTCAATTTTTTCGGCCTAAGCTGCGGCAATGCACCACGCGGTCACCAATCCTACCGATAAATCGCTATGTATTTTAACTGGCTCGGCCAGTGTTCTCGCAGCATTGAAATCACCGGTAACAGGTCATCCAAGGAATTCAAAAGTCAGCCCCACCGAATGCCTTCTTCCTCTGGTTCCCGTGGATCACCTCGCTGCCACCGGCCGCAGAGGTCGCATGGTTACAACGACGCAAGTAACATTTCTAGTTTTATCGTGGTTTTAAAGCATTCTACAAGTCTAAATCAAGGTCTACAGAACCCTCATAAAACCATAATTATTACTTGGGGAGCGTCCCCGGTCCGGAGCATGAGCATGAGAATTGACGACCATACATTTCAGTAGTTGCTACTCCGTGATTGACCAGATTTAGCGAAATTTGCACAAAGAACCATATGAATGGAGCTTGGAACTAGCAATCCATTCTCAGTGTACAAAATCCGGAGAATCCATATTGTTGAGGTCAATAACGGCACCGGCCACGTCCTTACGGTCATCGGGGAGGGAAAGGATTGTTATTTCAAGAACCGTTGCTACTAGAGACCCAGTATACCTCTGCATCTCCACGGTTGTCACGGGAAGGACATTCTTGTTAGTGGGAAGGGTAAATTAGATCTGAATTCACATTGGAAAGTGATGCGATCTTTTAAAACCTGTTAAGCAAATGACGCGACCCTATCAAATCAGTAATGTAAAGTGGCTTGGGTTTTGACCCACGATCTTCTGCTCAGTAAGCAAAAACGGTCGCTCTAAGGCCACCGTTCCCCTTACATCACAACAAGCTACGACCGACGATCGTTCATTATCGGTTACAAGAAACTATTACAATAAAATGAAATCATCCAAAGTAGTTAACAACGAGCGTCCCCAGTCCGGATGCCAAAAAGTGGACTAAATCGATACTTCGCGAAGCTTGGGCTAGTGAGTGGGCTTCCAGAACAGAGTCCTTTATCCGCAAGCTTAAGGCGGAAAAAACAAAATCGACAGATGTTCCAAACTGGCGGGACCAACGTGTACTGTCTCATGGTCACTGTACATGGAAAGAGCATCACCTTCCGAAGGAAATGGGACACTTGTGGAGTCACAATGACTGTGGAGAACATAGTGATCTACTGTCTCTGTTTTCACGACCTCCGGGACCTATATGGAATGCCATCTAGTATCCGGGACGCCCTAGGAAACTTTCCGTCGATGGAAGCCGTACCCCTATGTTTCATTAAAGGCGCCGGATTGTATCAGGACATTTGAACCACCTCAACCACATTACTTAAATTTTGCCAGCAACCAAGAACACGATTCGAATTTCGATCAGGATAAACACGCACAGGAAGGACACCATCAATTGAATAACCATTTATTGCCAGCTTTCACGACATCAATAGTGTCAAAACTCTGTGTATCAATTATGGGGGATCTCCCTCTGGAATCCCCACCCAAATCTGTAATGTGGGGTTTCCCTTAAGGAACCCTATTAAATTTAAAAGAGACAAACCAGCCGAAGGTTGAAAGTCTCTATAATAAAAATAAACTTACGTACACATTACGGAACACTGCTTCAAGCATTACTCTCACATTCCTCTAAGCGGAAGAGGAGACAACTGGCTTCTTTTTGTCTGTGACGCGTTCTTCTTCTCTCTTGGAAACGACCGTGAAAACTATTTCATTATGGGCGACGCAGTCGACTGTCAAAATGCAAGAAAATAGATTTCCTGTTGTGAAAT